TTACCCCGTATTTTCAGGGGAAACCAAGAGTCAGCACTGTTTTCCTCACGGGTCATTGTTGTTGTTGTTCTTGGGACAGGGCTGACAGCATTGACCACGGCCCGGACCAGCCGCGTCTTGCCGGGAAATAGTTTTAGCACCAAGAGGTCTAACGGCATGGTAAACACGTTTTGTCATTGATAGCCTGACTTTTATGCGCTTTCTTACTTCTTTTTTAACAATAGTAATGCGTTACCGTTTTTTTTTTTTTTTTTTTAAATCTTGTTTTCTCGTGTTAAGTATATATAAGGTCAAGATGCCGGGTGATCCTTCTCATTTAAACGCGGAGCGTCTTAAGGAACTGCGAGGGGCTGTTCACAAATTCTTACAAGATTCAAGTGTTTATTCTAAAATTAGTGAAGCCCCATACAATCCGCCACCTCCGGCTATTACGCACGGACGTCGCACCGCGCCGCCGACGCTCCATCCGATCTTTCAAATTGCCCGACGCAATCGTCGGGAAGGGCAATGGAGCTTATCCGTAAACGACGCTCGACTGTGGCACGACGAAGCAGCGATGTCCCCGTTTTGGGCCAGTTATATGAGGAGAGCGAACGAGGTGGCCCGAGAGATGTGGGCGCCGTCAACGTGGGAGCAGAGAATGTCCCTTGCTGGGCAATTCACAACCTTTCGCCGCACGCACGAACTGCCGACCAACGCGGAGAGCTGCGCGGCCTTTTGATGGCAATATCAGATGTGGCGCCATGGACTCGACTACAGTACGCCAGGATGCTGCGGTCTATGTTGGGAATGAATCGAACCCCGCTGGGCATGATGATTTTGGGGTTGCAAAAAATTGCGGCGCGATGGGAGACGAAGCAGGCGCGCCCTTTGACAGAGGAAGGCGGTGGATCAATTTATCCGCGGCCGGACCGATTGGGGGGAACGTGTTGTCTTACGACTTGCGTGGATAACGGCGAGTCGTTTGTTTGAGATTGCATCCTTGACACCCAACAATTTTACACTGGAGCCGGACGGGACCTTAATTTTGGATTTGTCCGTGGCGCCGAAGACGGCGAAAGCGGATCCCCACCGCGCCCCGCGGTTCTTGAGGATACGAGGGCAGGATGCCTTTGACTCTATAAAGCTACGCAGGACGCTTCAAGAAAACAGCAAGCTCACGAATCTTACGGCCGCCCACTTGGAGCAAGCTTTGGCTCCTTGGAATGCCACGGCGCATTCCATAAAACGCGGTGCGTTGAGGTGCGCTGCTCAAATCGTGGAGGCGTACAATTTTGACCCACACGTGATCTCGCAGTCGGCGAAGCACGTCAATCCGTTCGCTCTTCCCCATAATACTGTTCGATATTTGTGGAATTACACCACAATGCTGACCCAGGTGTCGTCGCTGGTCGCATTGATGTGAAGGGAGAAACCGCGGAAGGACAGGAACCCTGGCTGAAAGCAGAGGAGCGTTTTTCCACTATTTTTATCACAATCATGCTGCTACAATAACGAGACACGCGACAAGGACGCGTCCGGCCTCTCCACAAGATGAACACGCTATCCCGTTACAGAAAGTCAACGCGCCCGTATT